CTCCTCCTCCTCCTCCTCCTCCCTGCCGGTGCCCCCAGGTGCGATGCTCCGCGCCCCGGGTCTGAGCACACCTTTCCCCCTAGGCAAGCAGCGCAGCTGCTGTGACACGTGAGCCTTGAGAAGCGTTTAGTTACCGGTACTGAAACGAGCCGCTCGGTCCCAGGCGCACGTAGAGAACTCCAGCGGTTCTTCTGAAGTTTCTGGGCGCTTGCTTGGGACTGTGCCTGCCTGCTGATCCGGGTGAGTTCTGGCACGAGCTGTGGTGAGCTTATTCGGAGCTCCTGGGCTGAAAGAAAGTCTTTGATGTAGCAGAACTAAAATATGCACAGAAAACAGCCAGGAGATGCCTAAGAACTAGGATTAGTTTGAATAGCTGTTGCCTTGGCAGTATTGAACAGATATTGTGCTATTGCAGCAGTGCTAATTTCTATTGAGCAGACAGTAGCTTGATTTTTAGAGAGGTGATGCTTTCACGTGAAGACTGTGTCATAGAAGTGTGTTCTGCTTCTAACTTCTAGAACCCTTTACCCAAAGATTAAAACAGCTACTCTCAGATAACATCACTTATGCTTCTAGTACTGGCACTCTTTCTTCTTGGAGCAACTCCTGTCAGTGCAGTGTGTTGTGTGGGTTTGTAGACAGGTTCTGTCTGTTTGTGCGGTTTGGTGCGTTTTGTCCACCTCCTTGACAAGCATCACATCATAATGTGTGCGTGCTGGGACAGGTAACATGTCTTCCTGGGCAAGGACCATCCTTTCCTACAGGAATCTAGTTTTCATTGCTAGAGGGAGCTCTCCTGAAATCCTAGCCAGTGTTGTGCTTTTTACCAACCTTGCTGTTTGTCATGAGTAGGCAGCTTCCTATGCAACAGGTGGCTCCTGCCTCAGAGCCTTGGTGTGAGCTTGGCCAGTGCTGGTACTGCTGCTTCTGCTTGTCTAGCTGTTGCAGAGTGAAAACCACCCATGTTCTGCTTAGTGAGCATTGTTGCTGTTCTTTGCTGTGTACATGGCTGAAGGACTTAGCAGGAGAAGAAATCAAAGCAAAACCCAGTGGGTCTTATGAGTAATGCTACCCCATGGTCAGGGATGATGCTTTAGATCTTTGTAGACTGCTTTGTGCGAAAAACAGCTCTTTTTGCTTAGACTCTATCCTAGCAGTTGGGTAAAGTTGGTAGTTTGTGTATCAGTAGTTAGGTGGCCTTTTGTGTTGAAATATTGTGCAAAGCTCCTTTAAGCAGGCATGCAGGCAGAATGGGGCCCTGGGCTCTCTACTTAGTGTTGGAAACGTCCCCTGTGTGAAGACAGATGCTGCAATAGCGTGAGAAGATCACTCTGGCATAGGTCTCATAGAACAAGATAAAAGTGGAGCATCTCAATGCTATTTTTTATACCTTCTTAAAGGATAAGATTCAATTAGCAGTCAAGTACTGCTCTGGTAGTCCTAATGAGTTCAACAGAAGTGCCTTGCAATCACATCTCAGCTGTAGAGGAGATAATAAATATTGTTCTGTGGTGTTTTGTTGTGGTATACCAGTGACTGTTGAGACTACTGTGCAAGCCTTTCAAGGCATAAGGATGGGCTCTGAAAGACAATTTATCCTAGATCAGCTGATTATTGGAATAAGGTAGTGATGGCAACACCACTGACTGAAGAGGTGCGTGCTCTCTTAAATGACTAGTAGATTTGCATAGAGGCAGTGCAGTTTGTATAGATTAACGTAGTATCTTAAGGCAAATTACTCCAAAGTAAACTATTCAGTTTTTGGCTTGGTGCCTCAAAACTGGTGGGTGGGGATTTTGAAGCTCTCTTGATGGTGGGTCATGGGACCAAATAAACTCCTGTCTGCAGGGAAATGTAGGTGTATGAAGTACATTTGTAAGTGCATGGTATTGATTTGTTTCCTTACTCTAAACTTGTCACTCAAACTTCTATTGGTGGTTGCTCATTTCCATTATAGAGCAAATCCTGTCGTTTAAAACAGTATTTTCAAGATTATGATAAGTTCTTTTAAGTGCCTCTTTACTGCCAGCTTCATTTAGGCACTTCATTTAGCTCGTTAGCTAAAACTTTTATGTTCTTTATCACTTGTCTGCTGTGTAACTGCACACAGATTCACTTTCCAACCTCAACGTAGAAACATTTTCATGTGAATGTTTCTTCTTTCTATGACTAATAGCCAGATAATCATTCTTCTTCATCATTGCATGCTTCAGGCTTATGAAGTGTATTTGAAATTGGAGGCTTGGCCTATACGTCAAAGTCTTTGGGGACTAAACCAGTGACGCAGACAGACCTTTCTTAGCCATACTACTATGCATGTCATTCTATTGCTAATATTTGCAGTAAGAGTACAAGCAAATCAGTGATTTTAACCTTATGACTATTTGGCAGGAGAGAAATCGTGCAAGTAATTTTACATAGTGATTCAGCTTCCCATGTGTCTTAAATTGTTTAAGATTCTGCTCATGTACATAACAGGCCTTGCTGCATACAAGAGTTGGGTATTTGAATCAGCATCTTGGTTCCCTTCCCAAGCAGGTTTTTCTGCTCATCAATATCAAATGGAAACAGCAGGTTCTTAATGTGTTGAAAGTGCATTACTATTTGTACCTGCTGAGTATGTGGGATGTTGACAAATGATACAGGGTAATGATAGGAGTGTGCTTCACTCATCTGAGAGGTGGCCAAAGAAATACTGTGTGGGAGAGGGTGAAAATGAAGAATGAGCTTTTCTTTTCTTTTTTTTTTTTTTTCTTTTCCCCTCCATGGCATGTAGGCCAGCAAAACCAGCTCGAACTATCCTCTTAGCTTTTGTCTGTATGATTCTCAGTGCTGCATTCTGTGTCCTGC